CCTGCCCCAGGCCACCACCAAAACTCTCTGTACCCCTTCTCAGGTCACAACTCCCTCCAAGACCCTGCACCTCCTTCGACATCCTTCCCCCCCTGCCCCGCCAGAACTGTCTCCTGCACCCCGTTTCTCCTGCTCCAGGTCACCACACAAACCCTCTGCACCCCCTTCATTCATGTCACTACTCCCTCCCAGACCCTGCACCCCCTGCTAGAGCCCCTCCCCCAGGCTAAAATCCTCTCCGGCACCCTTACACACTCCTGGACCTGGCACCCCAAGCCCCTGCCTCAGATCACAGCCCCCTTCTTCCCCTAAACTCCCTTTCAGACCCCACACACTTTCTTGCATCCCAGTTCCCTACCCCAAGCTCCCTTCTTTACCCAGCGACCATCCCTGACCCCCTTAATAGAAGTGTGGCCCTTAATGACTTTCCAAAATCTTGGCGTGGGCCCCCATTAACAATTATTGTTCATCCTGGTCTATATGGACAACCTGAAATGTGTTCTACAGTATTCTTCTTCGAGTGATTGCTCATGTCCATCCACATAGGTGTGTGCACGCTGCACGCACACGTTGGAATATTTTTCCTTAGCGGTACCCGTCAGGCCAGCAGGGGAGCTCCCTGGAGTGGTGGTGATATATCAGCTAATATATACCCCTGCTGGCCCTAGACCCACTAGGTCCTTCTTACTGCTCGCGACAGTTGTTGGAAGGTGTCTTGCTCTTGCTCTGCAAGCGCCTCTTAAAAGTTCATCTTAGTTGTTTGTTTAATCATCAAAGTTTTCGAGGTTCATGTTTCTTTATCTAGCAGTTGATAGTTAAGTGCAGTACTTTGCACACTGTTTTAGGCACAGGGCTTGTTTTGTGTCCCTGGTGCATTTGGCGGAGCATGTCCAGGCTACAAGGCTTCAAGCCCTGCAAGAAGTGCCAGAAGCCTATGCCCTGTGGTGACCCCAACAGAGCCTGCCTCAGTGCCTCGGCGAAGCTCATCTGTCTGAGGCCTGTAAGATCTGTAAAGGCATCAAGCTGCGCCCTAAATGAGAGAGGGAACTGTATGTGCCTGCTGGATCTCATGGCTGCCTGCACTTATGCGATCCAGCATGCTGGACTCCGCATGCATCCAGCTGGCACAGGCTCACAACCCATCCCTTAAACTCTTGGGACAGAGTGGTGATTGTTCCCTCTGAAATCCTCCACTCTCTGGATTGGTGGACCCAGGAGGGGGTGGGTGGTCTGCGCCTGAGTACCATTCTCTAGGCCCCTCATGACCCTTTGGTTGGTGATGGACGTGTCCGACATGGGTTGGGGAGCTCCCGTCGGTGACATGAGGACACACAGTATGTGGTTACGGGAAGACCTCTCCCTCCACATCAGTGTCAAGCTTTTCTCCCCAGGCTCAGGGGAGGGACAGGTCTGATTCTATTCGACAACACCTTGGTGATCTCATACATAAACAGGCAGGATGGGCCCTAACCCGTTCCCCTCCTCTGTATCAGGAAGCCCTCTAGCTCTGGGATCTGTGCATCAGGGAGGGTAGCCACCTAATTGCCACCAACTTTCTGGGGTCTCGAACACTCTGGCAGACGAGTTGAGCGGGTCTTTCTCTGGATGTGAATAGTCTCTCAGAGGAGATGTAGCCTTCCAAATTTTCCACAGGTGGGGGTTCCCTCTCCTGGACCTATTTGTGACCCACCAGAACAGGAAGCACCCCAGGTTCTGTTCCTTCATGGCTCTGGGTTGAGGGTCTCCAGGAGATGCACTCATCACCTCTAGCTCCAGGGGCTGCTTTACACGTTCCCACCCTTCCCATTGGTACACAAAGTGCTCCTACGGGTGCAGGAGTTCAGGGCATCTCTGATACTCATTGCACCAGCGTGGCCCAGGCAGCACTGGTTCACCATCCCTTTTGAGCCTTTCCTGTGAAAGGCTGATAGCCCTCCTATTGGACCCGGATGTGATAACACAGGACTTTGGCAGGCTTCACCACCCGAACCTGTGGTCCCTGCACTTAATGACCTGGAAGCTGCATGTCTGACAGCAGCGGAACTGCAATGCTCAGAGTGGCTGCAGAAAGACCAGTTGGGAAGTAGGAAGGCCCTCTACTAGGGCCACCTATCTAGCTAAGGGGAAACACTTCTCCATTTGGGCCACCCACAGAGGGGTTTTACCAAAGGGTGCTCAGGTCCCACTGGTTCTGGACTACCTTCTGGACCTTAGGGTTCAGGGGCCACCCTTCTCATTGATGTTTAAGTTGCACTTAGCAGCCATTTTAGCCTTCCAACTGGGCTGGTTCCTGAAGGACTTGGATAGGCTCTACCCACATGTGCATCAACCTGTACCTCAGTTGAACCTCAATCTGGTCCTGACCAAACTCATGGGGGGCCCCCCTTTGAGCCCCTAGTGATGTTCACTACTGCACCTTTTCTGAAAGGTATCTTCCCTGGTGGCTTTCACATCAAAGTGGTGTCTCATTTTCATGTCTCCCAAGACCTTTTCCTCCCAGTATTTTACCCTAAGTCCCATGCTTCGGGCAAAGAAAAATAGCTTCACACGCTAGATGTCAGGAGAGCTTTGGCATTTTATTGAGATAGGACAAGGTCTTTCTGCAAGTCCCCTCAGCTGTTTGTAGCAATAGCGGAACCGTTGAAAAGGCAACCAGTTTCCATATAGAAGATCTCTTAATGGATCGCTTCCTGTATTAATGAATACTACAAGTTGGCCAGGGTGCCACTGCCTCTCCTCACAGCCTACTCCACTAGGCCTCAGGCCTCCTCTATGGCCTTTGTAGCTCGGGTCCCTATCCTGGACATTTGTAGGGTGGCCACATGGTCTTCTATCCACAACTTCACCAATCATTCCGCACTGGCTCATCAAGCTAGATGGATACAGGCTTTGGCAGGGCTGTCCTGAACTCAGAGCGCGCACACCTACATAAAATGGACATGAGCAACACATCTCGAAGAATAAAAAGTAAGAAACGGGGGGGGGTGTGGGGGGTTTTTTTTTTTTTTTTTTTTTTTTTTTTTTTTTTTTCAGATTAATCTGTTAACAGCCTGACTGCTGATTAACCACCATTTAGCAATGTCTAGACTACAGGGGTTTTTCTGAAAAAAGTGGCCTTTTTTCGAAAACTTCACTTGTGTCTAGACTGCCGCCATGTTCTTTCAAAATTAAATCGAAAGAACACAGCGGATTTTTTCAACAGCGGTAAACCTCATTTTACGAGGAAGAAGTCTTTTTTTTAAGAGCTCTATCGAAAAAAAGCGTTCTTAACCGCAAACAGGGCTTTTTCAAAAGAGAGCATCCAGATTGCAGATCACTTTTTTGAAAAAGTTGTCTTTGTCTAGACTATCTCTTTAGAAAAAAGCTTTTTTGAAAGATTCTTTCAAAGAAGCTTCTTTCAAAAGAAGCGTGTAGTCTAGACTTACCTTTAGTGATATAGAGGGGGTGCCTCTCTTTCAGCAACTATCCATATACAGCCACTCTCCGAGTTACGAACAAGTTACGGAGCAACACTTGGTCCATAACTTCAACTGTTCGTAACTCGGACCCCATTGAATTACACGCGACCGCACTGTTCATAAGCGCGGGTCATGTTTGTAACTCGGGGACCGCCTTTTACGTCCGCCCCATGGGAGCTTTGGTCGTAAGTACGAACGGTTGTAACTCGACTGTTCGCAACTCGGGGAGCGGCTGTATCAATCTGAGGGAAGTTTATAAATCCAATTTAACTTTTGTCCTTTCAGAAGAGCAGAATAAGGCTCTCTGAAAACAAACTAGACCATAACACAGGAATTCTTAGTCAAATGCTAACATGTTTTTCCATTTTAAAAAAGGATCCTGTGATCTAGTTACCTTGAATTAAATAAATATTAGTTCCTATTAACTGGCTTACGTATGGTTTGAAAAATCAAGACCTGATCCAATTCACTTGTATTGAATATTACCTTCAACCATGAGTGGTCAGCTTAAAGTCAATGGGGCTATTTGTGTATTGAGTTACTCCTCTGAATGAAAATAAGTTGTCCAGTGGCATCTTAGAGATTAACAAAAATAGGTACTACAGAACTACTCTAACTTAAACACGGTTTCCCCTTTGATTCTGACAATGCATAAGGGTTGTCAGACACTTACTGTTTTGGAAATTCTAAAACTCATTTTAAAAAAATCCAGTACTTGATGTCTCTGAACTTTAGTTTTTGATTTTGTGTTTTTGAGAGCCTTAAATGTCTGCCGTACTTGAGGAGGCAAGTCCAGGTGCTAACATATGAAGATGTATGAACCACATTTATGACTTTTTCCCCTCCTTTTCAAGGGGGATCAAAACATTTTTATTCAAATATTCTGGTGGTTTTATAACACTTAAGCATTGGAAAATTAAAACTTATATATTTCAAGAGACATTTTGTGATTTTTTTTTTTTTTTTTTTTTTTTTTTTCCCCTCTCATTCCTACAAAACCGATTTGTGAGATCCTCCTATTTCATGCAGCATCAATTTATGGAACAAACATCCAATTCTTATAGTTATGCGTATACTTTACTTCTGGCTGATTCAACTAAGATCAGCAAGTAATGAAAAGCAGCTATATTGACCTCTCCTCCTTTAGTAACACAACATGTGTTCTTTGCAAGAATAGAGAATTGAGAATGAAGAAGCATCTTAAACTGTAGCTGTGTACACTGTGCATAGCTAGTATACGGCTTTTCACTCTTGATTATTTACACTAGCTTTTTTTAAGCACATAAGTAGTATTGATAATGGCATACTTTTCAGTCACTGTTAAAATTACCTGTGGTTTGGTACAGCATTTAATTATCACTAGAGCACTAACTAGATAAAATACAGAATATTAATTGAATGCACAATACTGATTGTGTACCATATTTTGTGGAGAAAGTATTATTTGAATGTATTTTTTTAATTGTTTTTAATCTCGTCCATGTTTTGTTTAAAGAAGGTTAGTTGACTGAGAGTAACAGGCTTTCTAAAAATTTCTTTCAGTAATGCAGTCAACCTTTTGAGCAATATTCCGGTTTCTTGTTTGGATGTCCTCATTAGTCCATCAACTCAAGAAGAAACTGTTTTAAAATATAATGGTATGAATATGGATGCCATTCAAGTGTTGCTGGATTTCATGGAGAAAAGAATAGACAAGGTAAGGGTGACATGGCACAAAAAGAATGCCTTCTTGTAAAGGTAGACATGAGCTTGAACCATAACTCCAGATCCATATAGCTGCCGCCTCCTCCTGCAGAACTGTACATTTTTAAGAGGTAGGATTGATATGTAATTCAGCAAACTTTCAGATCAGACCCATTCTGAAGCTGAAAAGTTTGTGAGAACTATATTAATATAGAATTATTCATAAATTTATGAAACATGTCAACAGGCATGTGGTGTATAAAAGTAAAACATGTATCTCCTAACACAACTAATAAAATAACAAGGAAAAGCAAAGCTAAGGAAGAGAGTATCCTACTTAATCAGAATTTATTTACAGATGATAAAACCAGCCTGACTGCCAACCAATTTTTAATGTGATGTTGACTCTGTTTCCTTTAAATACAGTAAAGTTGAAAACATTGTTGAGGTTATAAAAAGTAACAAATGTGGATGGGAACCTTTTTGGTTCTTGTGGCTGAGATGTTGTATTTTACTGACAAAACTGTATTTCTGTTACCATTGAGGAGAATACCATCTATGGTTAGAAAAGCAAGATCAGCAAAACTTGTTCAGGTCAGAGTACAACAAATAATTTAAACGTATGCTTGAAAGTTCTGCGCCAGTACCAGTTGGGTTTTGGATTAAGCCTAAATGCTGAACAAAATGTGTGTTGAACCCACAACACAAAGAAAATGAAGGCTGAAACGCCATTAAATTGTACGTTGTATATAATGTTCAGATAAAGCAGTTAAAAATATTTGACATCCAAGGGAGCTAGGTTGCCTTAAATTGCAAATTTTTAGATTAAAATTAGCTTATGGAACAGTCCCTTTTTGAAATACTGAATAGCACATCAGAAATTATGGATTTCTGGAAGAATTTTGGTAGTGTGTTCTTAATTTTTCAAATTGTGCATAGTAATGTGTGTTCATGCTAAATCTTTGCACAGAGTTTCAAAGTTAGAGGGAAATTTTACATAAAATTGTTCTAAACTTCTGAATGAAAAGATTTTAATAGATATATTGTCACTCCTAACAGTTATGTTGTTGACATTAAGAGGTTTTTTTATTGAGAAGGGGGGGGGGGGGAATCTTAATTTCACTACAAAAATGAGAATTATTCTTTTCCACTTGTCTGTGTACTAAATTAGCCATATTATTCTAAAGTTTCAAGCAAAACACATGTATGCATGGAATATATAAAATATAATCTTGTCTGATGCTTGTAATTAAGCCAATGCTTGCGGGATTTTTTTTAAATTCCATTTCAGGGAAGCAGCTACAGAGAGGGTCTGACTCCAGTTCTCAGTTTACTCACGGAATGTTGCAGAGCTCATCGGAACATCAGGAAGTTTATCAAAGCCCAGGTAAGATTCAGATATGTCTGAAAATAAAACATGCAACAAAATCTTTCAGGCACAGAGAAAGTTGATGCGTGAATATAAAGCAACATGTATTAAAATGTCATTAATTGTCTATATCCATAAGCAACTGTTGCCTTCTCTCAGCTCAATGACAAAAATATTGATCTACGTTAGTGTTTTCAATGTAATGTCATAATTTTATTTCAAAGTACTGTGAAGGAAATAAACATTGTCATTCTACAAATGCATGATAATGACTTAAATCATTGCATAGGTTGAATCTCTCTAATCCTGCACCCTTGGAACCTGACTGGTGCTGAATGGGAGAAGTTTCTGGGCCATGGGAGGTCAATATTGTCTAGCAGCATTACCAACACTTCCACTGCTTACTGGGCTGTTAGACCTTTAGGGGTAAATTAGAGCTAAATAACAGTACAGAATGCTGAGTGCCCGGACTGGTGCCTGTAAACAAACTTTATGGGACCACAGGAAATGGCCACATCCATGAACAGTGGATAACTAAAATCATATCAGACCAAGGATGTTGCTGGACCAGAGCATGCCAGACTAGAGAGGTTCAACCTGTATCAGCAAATGAAAATCCAGATCCAACAATAAAATGTTGAACAGACTGAAATTCTTAACTTTAAATTCTTCAGATTAAAAATACAAAATGTAAGCATTGGGATGTAACCTCATGACACTTCTGTAATGATTAAAATATACAGAGGGGACACTGAACAAATTGTTTCAATTGCAAGAAAATCCACTTGAATTGCCTGGGCCCAACTTCCATGGCTTATGCCACAGAGCCTCAATTCAGCAACATTAGAACAGGGACTGAGGCGGTAGTATGAGGTGGTAGGATTTTTTTTTTTTTCAAAAGAGCCTAAGGGGACTCTAGCAACTAAATCTGTTAGTCACTTCTGCAAATCCTCCTCATCACTAATAGCCCTACAGCCTTATGGAAGCTAGTCAATCCATCAGTATTTTTGTACCATCAATTGAACTTTAGTCATAAATTACAATACTTCAGCAGAAAATAATCCATGGCATTGGAGCTTAACTGCTGTGCATCATTTAAGCCCTTAAAATAGCTTTCAGGTAGAGCATGAGTCCCATGCTAGCCTTCTGCATAGGGTGAATTTTATCCCAGGTTTAAAAAAATAGACATTTTCATAACTTCTGTAGTTTTAACTATCTGCTGAAGTGCAGTGGAAAAACTTTCAAAATGCCCCCTTACCAAGCAAAGAGGAAGCAGGATAGAAACTGAGTCCCAGCAGCATCACTAAATTGCAGTGTCCCTTGTGGCTACTCCAAGGTGGTTGCAGCTTCCAAATTTGAGCTGTGCCTCAAATCATAGTCTAGCCATATACGACTACATATGTTCTCTGCATCTTTTATTTGTTTAGGACTTTTCTTTGAGGTAAAAGACCGGGTTTCATATAAATCTACACTTACTCCATGTTCTCCACCTGAATCCATATTCATTTGACAGTCATTCCCCTAAGAACCTATTCTGTTTAATACAAACAAACTACATTAAAAGTGTGCTACTGAGGTTGTGAAGTCAAGAACTGAGATCTGAAAATGCCACTGTGATGGGATGAATCATAGAAGTGCCCTTTGGGTTGTTCCATGGTGTGCAGGTCATGCTACTGACACCTGCCTTCTTTCTCTCTGGCTCTCCCTACCATCCTGTCCTGCTGGACAAGATCCTCTGATCTCCAAGAGATAAGGCTCAGGGTTGGGGTTAGCAGCCCTTTCACAGAAGCAACATAGATGCTGAACTAGTTCAGGTGTGGAAGGACTCTGTTCTAAAACCAACCCCCAAAAGGGACCAAAATCCCAAATAAATCCATCTTGTCCTCTGTAAAAGTTGTATTCAGAGAAAGCTTATAAGGTCAGCCTTCTTTATTAATGAGAGGTGCACAAAGTGGTTGCCCTCTCCCTCTTCCCCTACGTAAGTTATTTACACTGGCTTGATAAACAAAAGTGCTTTTAGAGTCCTTTTGCAGTCTGAGCATTAGGAACTGAGGGGATGACACACAATGGCTACGTCTAGACTGGCATGATTTTCCGCAAATGCTTTTAATGGAAAAACTTTTCCGTTAAAAGCATTTGCGGGAAAGAGCTTCTAGATTGGCACGGACGCTTTTGCGCAAAAGCACTTTTTGCGGAAAAGGGTCCATGCCAATCTAGACGCGGTTTTGCGAAAGAAAGCCCTGATCGCCATTTTCGCCATTGGGGCCTTTTTGTGCATAAGTTTTTAGCTGTCTACACTGGCCCTCTTGCCCAAATACATTTCCAGAAAAGGGCTTTTGCCCGAACGGGAACGTCAAAGCATTTGCGCAAGAAGCACTGATTTCGGACAGTAGAACATCAGTGCTTTTGCGCAAAATCAAGTGGCCAGTGTAGACAGCTGGCAAGCTTTTGCGCAAAAGCAGTTGCTTTTGCGGAAAAACTTGCCAGTCTAGACGCAGCCATGCAGTATGGTTCTTGGTACTGACTGGTTTTTAAGTCCTGGCTTGACAAAGCCTTGGCTGCAATGAATTAGTTGAGGTTGGTTCAGCTTTGGGCAGAGGATTGGACTCGATGACATGCTGAAGTCTCTTCCGACCCTATGATTCTATGACAGGATTGGAGCATGCTTTGTGAGTGTCAGAGTGGGAATAATGCTTGCACACCTAGTTAGCAGTACATAGTGTAATAAACTAGAGCAAGATCAATGACTATGGACTCTCTTTTTTGAGTTATTAGCTACTAAAGCTGAAGCTTGCAGCAGACACCAGAAATGTCAAATCAAACAGTCAACGAACCAAACATCAAAGTTTTAATGGGACGTGTTGGGCACCCTGAATAGGTGGCATTCTCCTCCTCCTTCTGCCCCCGCCCCCTCGCTCTTTCCTGTTCAGTTTGCATTCTAGTAGAGGCTGGTTGTACCAACTCAGTGATTTAGAAGTACGAAGACCCATTAAGTTACACGTTTGGTTGAAAATCTTACTTGAAGACTTCAAGTAAGGTGTAAGAAGCAAGGCCAAATGACCTCTTAAAAAACAAAGATCCTTACTTCATGCCTATATCGCCAAGATGAATATTTGAGGTAAGAGTATGACAGATCATGTGTGGAAATTTAAGTGGAGTATTCTATAAAATATCTTCTGGTATGTCTACACGCCCTACAGAAGTTAGCCTTCCAGCCTGAACAGCAGTTTCAAAGTGCTATCTATCCTGCTAACAGCCATTGATGGACCCAACCTCCAGGAATTTATCTAACTCTTTTTTGAACCCTGTTAAAGTCCTGCTCTCTTACTCTTTTGCTTGGTGGGATTTAAACTTGTTTTGTATGGTTTTTTTTTCCAAAAAACCAAAAGTTTGTCAGAGCTTCTTTTCAAGTTGGTGACTTCTGCCAGTAATGTGTGGTGTATTCATTTTTCTTTTTGTGACAATAGGTATTGCCTCCATTAAGAGATGTATCAAATCGTCCTGAAGTTGGCACAACAGTGAGAAACAAACTTGTGCGCCTTATGACACATGTTGACCTTGGTGTAAAGCAGATTGCAGCAGAATTCCTCTTTGTCCTTTGTAAGGAGAGAGGTATAAATCAATTTTGTTTCCTCTTATTCTAATTACAGCAAGGCTTTAGGAAGATATTTCCGTAACCCTCCCAATTCCAGATACAACCATTAGTTTAAAAGTACTGTTTGTGCTGCTACTAAAATCATGCCTAATGTTGTTCATCTTCGGTCAAATATTAGATAATGGCTTCCATTTTCTTTCGTCAACATCTTATATAGTTGCTGCCCAATAGGTTAAGATCTTAATTGGTGTATCCTGACAGAATTGACCTTTGTTTTGAGGATCTGGCCAGTCTAAACAGTAGTTATAAAATTAATGAAATTCTTTACGTATTTCCCCCTACCTTCCCTTTTGTAAATTAGCTAGCTTAAACACAGATCTTGTAACTTATTGATTGTTCTTTCTGCTTCCTGGGAGCACATACAGCTACCATGCTTCTGGGTAATATTAAATATCTTTTATTTTTTCTTCAAATGGAATTAACACCTTTTAATCTAGTTAATTTTATTGCGGTGGAAGTGTGTTCTTCAAATACTTTTTTTAAAAAAATGAAAAATTAGACTAATTGCTGTTCAAATAAGAACTTGAGCCTTACATGACCAATAGGATTTTAGTTTTTTTACTACCAAAAAAGTAGTGGGTGTTAGAGACAAATAGGAAGACAACAGCCCATGGTTCAAAAATCTTGCATTCTAAAGATGTAACAGTTTACCGGAAATAAATTGTGATTAAATACAGTAAACTTCCGATAATCCGGCATCTTTAGGACCCAGGGGGTGCCGGATTATCAGATATGCTGGACTATCGGGGGGGGGCGGGCTATGAGGGGTCTGGGGTGGAGTGGAGGGGATGCGCCCCTCGGCACTGCGGGACCACCCCAGCTGCTCTGCCCCAAGTCAACTGGTCAGGGAAGCTGGGGCAGCTGAATCAGGGAAGCTGGGGCAGAGCAGCTCCAATTGTCCAGCTGCCCAGAACTCTTCTGGGTTCCGATGGTGCTGGACCATCAGGAGTGCTGGACCATTGGATGCTGGACCACTGGAGTTTTACTGTATCTTGATTATCTAAACTTTCTTTAATTATACAGTTGTTGTTTTACCTTTTAGTAATATGCTTCATGAAGTCTTCAACTCTTAAGCGGTTTTCAAAGTTTGATATCTAACAAAAACCTAGTACCAATCCAATAATGATGTTAAAGTATAATTGTACTTCCACAGCACTGTTTATAGCACAGCAAACTGCAGTAAAAATTTGTTCTAAGAGCTTTTCTCTTTATATAAAAAATAACATTTAAGATGTAATTTTGGGTAAATTTATCAGATTAAAAGCCAGGAGGCTAGAATTTTCTGTTTATCATGGAATTGATAATGACAAGCTTCTCTACACTGCCCAGCTAACTGGTTTCAAGCTGGATGGAAAAGCTTATGTAGTTTGTGTGCGTTTTTCAGTCTTTGGTCCCTAATCTAATAATGTCAGTGACATGAGCTATAAGTAGTTTTAGCTATAAACTCTTTGCTGTAGCTGTTCAATGCCCAATACTCTCATTGACTTCAAGCAAAGTTGTTTATTTCATTTCGGAGGGAGTTCCATATACAGAGCAACTGCAAAACAGGACACCAGAAATGACTGACAATTTTCTTCTTACCATTAGGCCCCAAAATATTAACATATAAATTATTTTTGATTGCTACCAAATTGGATTGGAATTCACCCAGTGCAGAGGGAATGTTCCAGGCTTTCTGTGCCATTGTGAAAAGGGCTTAAATCGGGAGGAAGGAGAGGGTTCCTGTACTGGTGTAAATTTTTCATCTGAGTATACATTCAGATACAACCACCATTTTGCAATTTCTGTTAAGAGAATGCTAGCAACTGCTCTTATAGTTTTCTTGTTGAAAACCAAATGTGGGCATAAGCATGCTTGCGTGTTACCTTTATAGGGTAGAAGAACAAACACTTCTGTAATTCTGTGTTCAAGGAAGGCTATTCTTAGAAGTGCTGTTTGGAGGGGGGAATCTAGGCCTATGCCCCTATAGAAGTCTGTTGGTTTTTTTTTTTTCCCCTCCAGAGAATATACATGGCTTTAAAATAAACCACACATCTCTCCCTCCTCACCCTCCCCCCAAAAAACCCCCTCATTCTCCCTTAAGGACATACCTTTTGGTGACCCTTATTTTGAATGAGGGCTCAATGGACTGCATTTGGAGCACATCACTGTCCTGTTGCATAGCAATAGAGCCTGCTCCCAAGAAGGGATGAGTAGAGTGTATTTGATGTTCTCCTAACCTCTCCTGGCTTGGTATGCAAGAGAGGATTTGGAAACTGTCTACTTCTAAGTGGCCTACATATCAAGTAATGATGCTGTGTTGGTAAAGCTTAGAAACTGTTACTTTTCCTCACAAATTCTGTCTGTGCGCTACTAGCAAAATGAGAACTTGATGGCAGAAACAGAAAAATCAGTCTGATGTAGGCTTAATTCCACTTTCTTTTAAAAAAAATCTTTTTTTAATGGTTGGTGAAAAATGTTTTATGCCATCTAATCTTTCAGATGTTTGTACAGTGAAAATCCCACCCTACATAATTTATCAAACCAAATAAAGCCCCTATTTTTTTTCTCAAAAGCAGTTCCCCAGCATTGGTTGAACTCTTGGGATTTCCTTTTGGGTAGCTGCTTATCCTCTTTGTGCTACAGATGAGGAAACTGAGATAAAATGGCCTTTACTGAATAAGCCACAAAAGGGCAGGGTGTAGAACCAGAATTACAATTTTGGAAGTCCCAGGTCCCAATCCTGGCTTGCATCACTGGAACCCATCTTCTTGTGAAATTGTGTATTCTAACTCTTGACTTCTCACAGCTTTTCAGCTCCTATAATTGTCTGACAAAATGATTCAATACAAGCAAACTTAAATTTGTCATCTTTATTGCTTTAGTCTCAAGAGTGGCCTACCGCACCAAAATTAAATATAGAATCTCACTTGTCTTTTTCAGTTAGTTTATAGAACCAACTGGTCACTACATAAAGTTAGGCTTTGTAATGCAGCTTTAGAACAAGTTTTAAAGTACAATATTCGTAATTAAAATTCTAGCTTCATTAATTGATCTGCTTGTCTCTGCAGTTGACAACTTGTTAAAGTATACAGGCTATGGTAATGCAGCGGGACTACTGGCAGCAAGAGGCCTGTTAGCAGGAGGAAGGGGAGATCACTGGTACTCAGATGATGAAGATACAGACACTGAAGAGTATAAATCTGCAAAGCCAAAGTACAGTACTAATTTTTTTCTTCCTGTTTAAACTGCCCTATTCTTTGTGTTTTCGCTAAGGGTACATCTAGGCTGCAAGCTTCTTTCAAAAGGTTTTTTGGAAGAAATCTTCCAAAAAAACTTCTTCCGAAAGAGCATCCACACTGCTTTTTCAATGTGCTTTTGCAATCTGCTTTTTTGAAAGATAGTATCCATTCAGTGTGAATGCTAAATAGCATTTAAGCTTTGATTTACTATGGACAGAACCTGTGCTTTTTCCTGGAGGCCTCTTCTTTTGGAAAAAAAAATGCCTCTTCTACGTCCACACGTGCCTTTTTCTGAAAGAGCTCTTTTGGAAAAGACATTCTTCCTTGTAAAATGAGGTTTACAATGTCAGAAAAACCCTGGTGCTGTTTTGATTTTTCTTTTGAAAACACAATAGCAGTGTGGATGTAAGTGAAGTTTTTTCAGAAAAACGGCTGTGTTTAAAAAACAAAAACAAAAAAAACAAAAACCTGCAGTCTAGATGCACCCTTAGTCTCCTCCTCTCTGCCCTTTGTCAAAGGTGGCTATCATAGCTTACAATTTGGAGCTGTGTGTGTTTACATAAACTGTTTTCCACAGTCTTTATGAAGGTTTTCAGTGTCTTTTTTTTTGTGTGTGAACCAGTGTTTCTGTGGTTCTTGAATACTTCCTCCATAACTTCATCAATTGCAACTAATTTAAGTGATGGAAATTTAGCTATATGAAGGGTTACCTTGTTATCTGGCTTCACGTTATTTCAGATGCCCATTGTAGTGCTTGCTTGTTACCTTACTTTGCTCTGCCTTGCTTGAAGACCCTAAATCTTCTTGATGTGCTGGTTCTGGCTTTTTCTGAATCTCCAATTACACAGCCAAAAAACCTTCTCTCTCCTCTTTCCCCCGCCCGCCCGAAGCAGCACATTTCACTGAGAAGAAAGATGGCAGACTTCATCTCTCCCGATTTTTGGGACCTCTTTCTAGCCACTGTGTCTTGGTATCTTTCAAGAACCTTACCTGAAAACAGTCCTTTGATCTCCAGATAATACATTACAAGCATGTTGAATTTAAAAGATATTTGTGTACTTAGTCTGCGATTCATCATTTTGTTTCTGAAAAGACTTCAAGTGACTTCCTCCACTACAGTACTTTTATTTTTTAATATATTTTATTATTTCATTTTTAAGTATGACCCTGCTCTGAAAAGTCACTTTAAAAAAAAAGGCACTTCAAGGTGTCTTGTCTCTTGCATCCAATTTCTGTATCAAATTTGGCTGTCTATGTATAAGTTTTAAAAAAATAGGGGAAGGAGGGAGTTTCTAACAGCTAGCATTGTAAATTCAGCATGTGACATTGAGCCACATTTACTCCAGTAGAAATGAGTGCAAAAAGAAAACAGTGGTAATGCCACTTTAAGGTACTCCCATTACATATTTTGAGGATAAAATGCACCATCCAGACTGGTCTGTGTGTCAAATAATAGTTCCAGACAATTAACTCAAAGCTCTCCTTGAATAGAATTCCTCTTCTGAGACTTAGGTATTTGAATGCTTAACCTAGAGCTAATACAGTAAAAAAAAATTTTAAAGTCAACAAAATGAATATAAAACAATATGGAGGAAGGCTATCCCTGAAAAGAACTGCAGAATTTTACTAGCAATTTGAAGGCATTAAACGGTTTTATGATGCTGCCAGGGAATTATAATTTCAAAGAGTTCTGTCAAAATCCAAAGAAAATTTCACCAAAGGCTCTTAAGCAAAATAAGCTGTCATGTGATAAGGAAGGTCCTCTCATGGATTGATAACTGGAAAGAGGTATGGATAAATGGTCAGTTTTCAGAAGGGAGTTAACTAATGGTGTCCCATAGGGGTCTGTACTGGGACCAATTATATTGAACATTTATAAATGGTCTGGAGAAAGTGAACAGTGAGGCAAAATTTGCAGATGATACAAACTGCTCACGATACTTCCCCATGGAACTCCTTGCCAAAGGATGTTGTGAAGGCCAAGGCTATAAAATGGTTCAAAAAAGAACTAGATTAAGTTCATGGAAGAAAGGTCCATTAATGACTATTGGCCAGAATGGGCAGGAATGGTGTCCCTAGCCTCTGTCAAGTTGGGAATGGGCAACAGGGTAGATCAATTAATGACAGCCTGTTTTTTGTTCATTCCCTCTGGGGCACCTGGCATTGGCCATATCAGGCTACTGGGTTAGCTGGACCTTTGGTCTGACCCAGTATGACCGTTATTATATTATGTGTTTGTTTGTATGTATTTATTTATGTAAATGCTACAACCACCTCCACAGCATTAACCTTATCACTGGTCATGTGGAGGAGCCAATGCCCAATCCTATGGATGAAATGACAGAAGAACAAAAAGAATATGAAGCCATGAAACTTGTCAACATGTTTGATAAGCTTTCCAGGTAACGTAACCCTGTCCAAAATACTACAATAAAACAAAGTGGATGGTTTTTAATCCTAGCTCTTCTTGAGAGAGAGGGTTAGGCCCCAGTTGTTTACTTTGTCAGAGGTATGTATGAATGCTAATAATTTGCTTGCTTTTTGGTTATCTACATACTTATGTGTGTCTGCTCTGTTTAGGCCATTTTCACTGGACTGGAAAACTATGCTTATGTTTTGGCAGATAGCAAGAATTGGAACATAACACAGTTCCATCTAATTCTATTTAAACATTAATGTAGACAGAACCTTTGGGAAGGGCTGATTCCTGCAATAAAGCAAAGAATTCAAGGTAGAGAAATCAGATGCATGTTAAGTTGATTCAGAAATTTTGGTTTAAAACATCAAGCAACGTACATAAAATACACTTGGTTTTTCAGAGCATCTAGAAACTGATCTGTTTTGACAGGTGTACTGATTTTTTTTTTCCTGCCTTAACCACAGTCTCCCTGTCTAGGTGCAGTTTTTTCAGTACAGTGATGACTGTAGATAGTGTCTCATTCATGAGCTGTGTAAGTGTGCTGCTCTCACTTCCTTGCCCTAGAGGGAGAGCAAGACAGGACAAAATGGCAGGGAGCGTTCAGAATGGATTAGGAAGAAGGTGGTGTAATTAACAGAAGAAAGCAGTCATGGGAGTGATTGGGATGTATGGACTGCCAGTGTGGCAGAGATAAGGGTTGAGGAAAGGTGGGGAATCTACAGTGTTAGGGGAGAAAAATAGACCACTAAGGATCAAGCTGAGAAGCAGCAGTGGAGGACACCCTAAGTCAATAGATGACTTGGCAGACAGAGGAACAACATTTATTTCTAGTTTGCGGAGTAAAATCTAGTCCAGGTCACACAAGTAGGGGATAAATGTTGTTACCCTCATTAGCAGTGATGGGCAACCTGTGGCTAGAATACAGCCCATCAGGATTTTGTGTGTGGCCCATAAGATATTTTCTTCACAGTTGCAGGGTTGCCAGATGCCATTGGCTTCCATATGTAGCCTTTTTCCTATCTGTATTACTAAAGTGACATGCATGTAAAGCAAGGACACAGTGAGGTATGTGGGGATTGCATGTAACATTGACTGAGAGCTGTGCTCCCCTGCATCCAATCAAAGCCTTGCTACGATTCAGCCTATATGCCCGTAAATTCTAGGTACGTGAGCACAGTTAGCAAAACCACCCTATCCCTGGAGACTGTTTTGGTTACAACAGTCTTGTGGCCCACTAAGATGGAGAGGCACGCATGTGGCCCACTTACTAGCCTAGGTTGCTCATCACTGGTCTATAGTCTAGTAGATGGCCTGTGAGAAATGAATTTATGTTAACAGGCTTACAAACAGAAATACAAATGGAAAGGGGCTTATTTCACTGCTAATTAGGAATGTGATAGTTTACACGGTTAAATGGTTAACCGATGAGCTCTGGCTCATTGGTTAACATTGTTACACACAAGCCCCCACCCCCATTGCCTGTGTATCAGAGGCAGCAGTGTGGGGAGGAAGCAGACAGGAGTCAGTGCTCATGGGGAGCTGGCTATTAAGCAGGTTCCCCTCAAACACTGGGTTCTGGGAAGTCCCTCCCACCCTGCAAGCACCTTGGTCCCAACCCAGAGCCCACACTCTCTCCCAAAGACCAACAGTTTGCCCCAGGCCAGTGACCGTGAGTGAGGGTAAGGTAAGAGCAGTTGACAGAGGGGATGAAGTGAGTAGAGCAGGGCTTCTGGGAAGGGGTGGGGGCTTGAGGAAGCAGCAGAATAGATTTTTGGGTTGCCCTTACATTCAGAAAGTGATCTTGGGTGTAAATGGGCTAGAGATGGCTGTCCTAGATAGACTTGCTAATTGTTCTCATGATAGGAAGTAACGCATCAGGAAGCTGGCAGTGGAAGAAACATTGAAAGTAATTGAAAATAGCAGAAATACCAGTGCAATCTTAATTAGACAAACATCCATTGAATTTCCCTTCTCTGCTAGAATGTTAATTTAAATGTTAATAAATCATTATCCACTCCTTCCAGCACCAACATGCTTTTCATCATTTAAGGGGAGGCACTTGGTAAAGGGGAAAGAAATTGAACAGGAAAATGGGGGAGGAGAAGCTTTCTTCTCTGTTCTTTCCTTCCCATAGTTTTAAAGACTAGCTGGGTAATGTGAAATTGCAGACAATATAATGGGGGGCTAATTTAGCTACTATTAGTTGGGAAAGATCTTGGAGTTATCGTGGATAGTTCTCTGAAGAAGTCCATGCAGTGTGCAGTGGCAGTTAAAAAGCAAACCAGATGTAAGGAATCATTAAAAAAGAGAGAATAAGATGGAGAATATCTTATTGCCTTTATATAAATCCATGGTACACCCACATCTTGAATACTGATGTGATTGCCTCATCTCAAAAAAGATATACTGCCATTAGAAAAGGTTCAGAAAAGGGCAACTAAAATGATTAGGGGTTTGGAATGGGTCCCATATGAAGAAAGGTTAAAGCGACTGGGACTTTTCAGTTTGGAAAAGAGAAGACTGAAGGGGGATATGATAGAAGTGTATAAAATCATGAGTGGTATGAAGAAAGTGAATAAGGAAAAGTTATTTACTTGTTAACCCATAATATAAAAATTAGGGGCCACCAAACGAAATTAATGGGCAGCAGGTTTAAAACCAATAAAGTTCTTCACACCGCGCATATTCAGTCTGTGGAACTCCTTGCCTGAGGAGATTGTGAAGGATAGAACACTAACAAGGTTTAAAAGAGAACTAGATAAATTCATGGAGGGTTAAGTCCATTAACAGTTATTAGCCAGTGTGGGTAAGGAATGGTGTCCCTAGCTTCACTTTGTGAGATGGGGAGATGGATGGCAGCAGAGAGATCGCTTGATCATTACCTGTTCGGTTCACTCCCTCAGGGACACCTGGCATTGGCCACTGTTGGCAGACAGACTACTGGGCTGGATGGACCTTTGGTCTGACCCAGTATGGCTATTCCTATGTTCCCTACAACTTGGGCAAGTGATTAAAGTGGGCTTGTATGGGGTTGCAGCAAATCTTGTGTGGCTAATACAAATACATTTTGCTTATGAAAAAGTAAAGGACTGATACATCCCTGACTGAAAATGGCAAAATCATCCCATATAATTACAGGCCATTCTAAATCGGATTTCATGGATTTATTTTTAAAATGTGTTATCTGATGGCCCAATTGCATGCCTGGGGAATAAAAACATGGCATCTTTTTTAAAAGGGCTCAAGCAGTTGTTTGGATGCAAATGTAGTGAGCTATGAAGCTGACCCTTTTTTGATTACTTTAGTATTGACATTGTTATTGAAAAGTGCCTGTTGTAGGAGATGATTGCATGCAACAAGGGAGTGTTTGAAACTGTTTCATGGCATTTAGTAACCCTAAAAGCATGATGTTGATAAGGTTTTATTGGCATCTTTAAAGCCATTAACGCTCTAATAGTAGAGTGACTCAATGGATATTGGACTATAGGTGAGGTTGCAAACTGCTATTTTTAGTTAGTTATAACTTTTCAGTGAGGTAGTTGTGCTTGAATGAATCTCTGATCGAATGAATCTCTGATCAAATTTGCCTCATGAGAACTAATTATTGCCAAGTTTGGGGGAAAATTAATTCATCCAGTTACGCTTCATTTTAAACTAAAGATAGTAAAGGGTTAACTGGTTACCTGGCTGGCATTACTGGTTGATCAGCAGCCCAGTTAGACAGGAGCGGCCTGCCTGCCCATAGCAGGAGGCCCAGCCCAGTTAAACTAACATAACAGGTTAACTTTTTAAACAGTATTTTACATCTCATGTAAATATAGGTAGTGTTGCATAGAGGAGTGAATATACACATTTGTAATGTTTCTGGCTTCTTTACCTCACTACTGAAAGAGCTTTGTACAGGATGAGATTTTAAATTGGGGTGGGTTTTGGGAAGGTTTATTGTTGAAATTGCAAATGGTTATCTGTCTGGAGTTTTGTAATCCATGCAAAGGGAACGTGGCATACAGAATATGAACTCGTTACTCATCAGAAGTTAGGACATATACAATGATAGCATCTTTAAAATATCTGAATGAAGTGTATAACAGAATTTCCAATTAAGAGTCTATCCTACATACATGGTGACAAATGTCAGAGGGGTAGCAGTGTTAGCCTGTATCACAAAAACAATGAGTCGTATGGCACCTTAAAAGACTTATTGGGCATAAGCTTTTGTGGGTAAAAACTAACTTTGATACATGGAGTGGAAATTACAGTGGCAGGCATAAATATGCAGATTTTTAGATTGTATATTTATGCCTGCTGCTGTAACTTCCATCTGTGCATCTGACAAAGTTGGATTTTGCCCACAAAAGCTTGTTTCTAATTTTTTTTAAATGCAAGGGGGGAAAGGAAGATACTGAAATGTTTCCAGCAATGGGAAACTTTCAGTACTACTTGGGCCAGGTGTTGGATAGGGTGTTGATTGGCTGGAGTTGGCCCTGAATTTATTTTAAATAAAACCTGTTTGAAAGCACGTAGTATAAATAACCTTGTTACAGCAATGAGAATTGTTGGCTTGTAAATAAGTTTACTTTCCAAAAGTGATTGAGCTTCCAAAACCACCTTCACTCTGTGCAAAAAGATTTTAACATAAGCTTTCAGAGTTGCAAGAGACTAAATTTAGTCAGATTAAATCACTGTTGTGTAACTTTCCATCTGTTTATATACTACATTATTGGAAATATTCCATGTTAATTAAAAAGTCTGATAAAAACACTTTCTTCATTATAAATGATGGGAGAATTATATATTAATTGACTAATTTAAAATGTCAGGGTGCTTTTTCCAAGCCAACCTTGTATTAATAGCAGGAATCCTTTTGCAGATGAAATGGTCTCCAATTATCACAGCTTGGGTTTTGTTGTACATTGTACAGAAGTCAACAAAACAAGTATGTAACAGAACCTGCCTAAATAGCAGCCACACTCATTAAAACACAGCATTAATCAGCTGGTGAATAAAGATGGCAGTGGTATATAGATTCCCCCCCCCTCCTTTTCTAATCATAGAACAAAATAATGTTACATGAAAGGATCGGAACTATTATGTAGTACTCAATTATAGGGAGGTGAATAGGTCCCAAACATGCCATGTTATCAAAGGAGCAGACTGGTGTTTGTATGACTGTTGTTTTATTACAGACACTGTCATTAATTCCATGTGTCAATACTGCCCTGTCTTACACAGAGCAGTCAAGAAAGAAGTACCCTCGAAAACAAGGGAATGATTTTTTTTGAATCGTTATCAAGCTAAGTGGCAAGCAGGAAGCTGAAACTTGTATAGGTAAATTTGAAGGGACACTTGGGAGATCTGGAAGTGGGAGAAAAGAATGCATTTTACCAAATGTTTAATTAGGGTGTGTTTTCTATTTGTATACTTGAATAGAATGCTTTGTTGGTATTGGGAATATGCATGGTGCAGAGAAGAGTCTTTGATCTTGTCAGGGGAAACAATGATGTTGATACACATTAAAACAAATATTGTTAATCTGTACATTCATATATTTTACATTTCTCGTATATTTAAGGGGTACTGCAAAATTCACACTGCTAGCCAGTAGGTTCGAGGAGTAATTTTTGTGAAGAGAGCACTTAGTTTCCCATCTTTGCTATCACAGCTACGATTTTCTTTGATGTGTGTGGTTTGTCCGGAGAAACCCAGATAACTTTTACCTTAATTTAAACAAGGTCCTCCACTGGCATAAATTGTCATATCTCCGGTGCTCAATTGGGGACTCGCTGCGGTTAATGGATCTGAGAGTTCACACAAGCTAAGAATCTGCACGGGGACTGTTGTGTGCAAATGACAAAGTTGATTCCATAAACCTACCAACAGTCCTGAGTAATGCACTCATCCCAGACTCGTACAGTTGGTACTGTGGCACCTCACCCCTCACAATCTGACGACTAATTAGCGTCAATGTTGGTCTTTTTATCTGTTCTTACCTTTGAAGTACGTTGTTACTGTAAGGTGGTTAGGTACTCAGCCAGTTGAGGACCTTCATCCCTGGGCAGTGGATCTCCAGATACTGGCCTCTGCCAGGAGCTGAAGTCCTTGGGCTTTGGCCACCTCCCAAATAAACAAGTGTATTCCTGCACACAGCAGAGTAGGGGTAGGGTTCTCCCCCTGGGGTCATGTAGTAATTCTTGTTAGAAGAGGATTGTTGTGCAATGAAATTTGAGAACTGCCGATCTACATAATTGCACATTCCCTGCTGCGGAGATGGAGGTGCAAGTAGTCAGAAGCCACACAGTCACTTGTCTGGATGCTAGGGTTGCAGACCTCTTGCACGAATACCTACCAGTCCACCTGGCCAGTTTAGCAAAACCACACTGGTTTCATGGCATTCACGGTCTCTCAAATCACATACTGCAGCATATCATTTTTTTAGTAAAACTGTTGAGGCTATATATTGTGCAAATCATCACTATGGTTTGAGTGTCTCAGTTATGCAAATGGGGGGGGGGGGGAGATCAAAGCTAGAGTTTCTGGTATCTTATTCAACCATTGCTCATCTTTATAAGATCTGGTTTACTGTTCATATCTTGCACAACTAATGTGGTGCTCTTCTAGCTGCTTCTGTCAAAGCCATGGTTGGAAGGAGGGATTGTGGGCGCTCTGTACAAAGCCCTCTTTTAGACAAGAGTAAAGGAAAAGGCAAAATGTTGGGGAAAATAAAGGTTTCCCCCCCCACACCATGAGTAACTACAGCAAAATGCATAGGTTAAACTGTTTTTGTGGCAATATACGCATTTCATGGGATTCCCTTTCCAATCAGAGGTAAATTATTTTCAGGTATCCACACCATTTAAATGAAATCATGAAAAATTAAAAATAAGGGCTCTTTAATAGAAAATCAAAATGTTATCTTTGACCCTACAACCTTTTCCGTAATCCACATATAATAAATGAGGTGCTAAAATGTGAGGATTAAATAAATCTGTGCTAATACTTTTTGATTGGCTTAATCAATAATTAATCATCTTTAGAAGAGGCTGTGGCTTGTGGAGTAGATATAATTGGATTAGCTGTGGAGAGGCATTTGGAGCTTTGAAGAGATTAAAATGGCTGTCAATCCTGTAATTAAACTGCTACAAACAAAAGCAATAGTAAAAAAAAAAGCTGCCTGTTCAAAATGAATCAACAAGTACTTAAGCACCACTAGAGGTTGTGTAGGCAGAATGTGTTCTCCTGAATGATTTAGTTCCCTGAATGAGATGAATATGTATCAAATATTCTATTTTAATTGTGTGTTGCCCAGAATGGCAGGTGAAACTTTGGCAACCATTTCTTCTTAAAGAATTCACAGAAGAAAAGCTAATGTATGTTTTTAAAACCATGAACCTGCTCCTTGTCATGAGTCTGTTAGGCATTGACTTTTCCTGTATTTTTTTAATTGGCTTAATAGGTTGGCCTACATGAATGTGGTCTTTATCTCGAATTTGTTTTGTTCTCCTTACTTCAAAATAGAGATCTTTATTATTTTAAAGACTCTATGAAAATACTGTGTGTGTATATCCATCTAGTTAAAATAAAACAGCGGATTGCTGCATGTGTGCATTTGCTAATAGAAACTTTTTTTAAAATCTTACAGGGATGAGGTTATAAAGCCAATGGGAGTTCGACCGGATGGCACAATGACTCCTTTGGAAGAGACAATCTGCCAGTACCAAACCAATGAGCAGGACAGTTCAGATTCAGACTAAAGCATCACCTGCTTCACTGTCAATATCTCCTTTAATCAGCATCTTCCCTCCGAGCCATGACATCTTTTATCTACGCATTCTTACCCCCTCATTAGCCAGTATCATTTCCAGTCTTACCGGGATATTTGAATGATGGTGGATCTTGTGGTGTAATCTCTGCATTTTTATGAATCCATTTATATAGGAACAAATTATCAGTTTATTAATTGTAAAGCAAATTGTATTTCAGTGAGATGAAAATAAGATTGCAGTGCAAAAAAACTAAATT